TTTAAATTTTTTCTTTCTGTTTGAGAAAGGGTCTTGCTATATACCTCCACAAACCCTGCAATTTAGACTCAGAGGAACATTCTCCTTGAAGGAAGGAATCAGAGTAAATTTCTCATACTTGGACTTCTATATAGAATTGGAAAGTTAGTAATATTTGATTTACAAATAAATGAATAACTGATATTTTGGGTCAATTGGGAAGGTTTTGTTTTTGTTTTGTTTTGTTTGTGGGATTTATTTTATTTATTTATTTATTTATTTTTGTCTTAAAAATGCTAGTGTGTCATAGATTGCTCAGTATTTAGGGAGAATATTCCACATCCTTTATATTTAATTCTGTAACTGGTTTCAGAAGTAGGTAGCTTAGTAGTTTCCACACAAACTTTGTGCTCAGACATGCACAGCTGTGCATTATGACAATATTACTGGCTGCCCTTGTGACTTCAGTGGGTTATTTAGTCTCTTGGAACTTCAAAATTTTCCTCATCTGTGAAGTGGGGTTGTCTTTTTTTTTTTTAAATTGTTGCTGGCCTTTTAAACCACAGATGTCCACGTCAGCAACTGCAACTCGGCCACTACAAGCAGCAGGTAGGTCGCAAGGGCTGCAGCCGGAGGGAATTCTGTTCCCTTAGGCTCCCTCTCTTACAAAGCTATGAAGGGAACTTAACTCTCTCCCTCTAAAGAACTCAAGATTCAAAGGGTAAGGTGGAACTCTGCTCCTCAGAGAGACTGAAGCAAGTAACTCACCTCCTCTCCTTGCTGTGTCCTCCAAAAGGCCCTCCTGCTTCTCCTTGCCCCTCCTTAAAGACCCTTCTCCACCTGGCTCCTCCCTACCACTTCCTGTCAGCTAGTTGCTGACTCAGCCTCCTGACTGCAGGTGAATTTTATTCAACCAAACACATCTTTGCATCATTAAACAAATGTTCCAAAGCATAAGCAAAAGTAACACACCTTAAAATAACTTTCAACAACAGTGGGGCTAGTAATAGTACCCACCTAATAGACTTGTTGGAAACTTCAATGAGGTAACTCATGACAAAGCCATGAGAACAAGATGAGGCATGCAGAAAAATCTAATTAAAATTTGCCTGTTCTGTACCACTCATCCCTGGAGACATGAAGACATGAAGGAGCCCACAGCCTGGGAGAGTTGAGAGCCACCTAAATGAATACATATACGATAGTGAATTCGTGTGTGTGTGTGTGTGTGTGTGTGAGAGAGAGAGAGAGAGAGAGAGAGAGAGAGAGAGAGAGAGAGAGAGAGAAACATATGCACATGTGAATGAAGGAACAGGAAAGGTACTGCAGTGTCATCTGAACTGCAATTGAGAAGAGTTTGGTGCCTGGCTTAGAGGTGCGATGCAGATGTACTGGGGACTGGATCATGCAAATGATTTATAAGACTAGGAATTCATCCAGCTGGCATCTGGTTACATGTGGAATCTTTTGTGTTTTGTTTCTCTTTTGCAACACTTCCATGTTGAACATGGCCTTTGTATGATTCTCTGATTAAGCAATCTCCATTATTTTCTTCTTATAAACACACTCTGTATTAGTTAGTTTCTTGTTGCTGGGATCAAATACATGACCAGGGGCAACTCAAGGGACGTAGAGTTTCGTTGGGCTTACAATTAGAGGGGCTACAGAGGATGACAGAGGATACAGGGGATTGCATAGAGGGGAAAGCATGGACGCAGCTGGTCACCTTGCATCTGCAGCCACGAAGCACAGAGATGAATGCTAGTGTTCAGCTCACTTTCTCCTTTATATTCTGTCTGGAGCTCCAGACCATGGAATGGTGTCACCCATATCCACTTCACCATCTTATCTGGAAAATTCCTCAAAGACATGCCCAGAGGTTTGTTTCCTATGTGATTATAGATCCAGTCAAATTGAGAACAATATTAATCTTTATAGACATTAAGTCCTTGAGGACAGCTAGTGCATCTTGGGCCCATAAGATGGCTCAGTACTCACAGTGCTGGCTGCCAAGTCTGATGATCTGAGTTCTAATCTCAGGATTCATATAATGAAAAACAAAAGAGCCAACTCCTATAAGTTGTCCTCTGATTTCCACACACATGCCATAGTGGTGCATGCTTACAAACAAACAAACACACACACACACACACACACACACACACACACACACACACACACACACACACTCAATTAGTGTCTTTTAAAAACTTAAACCAAACAAACAGCATGACTTTTCATCAAGTACCTAGCATGTGGTAAATCTGAAGTAATGTTTGTAGCTAGAGTTTTCCTGCCTTGCCCACAGTCAGGACAAATCTTTGTCACTTGCCAGTCCCACAGCCACTCAGACCCAACCAAGTAAACACAGAGAATTATATTGCTTACAAACTGTATGGCCATGGCAGGCTTCTTGCTAACTGTTCTTATAGCTTAAATTAATTCATTTCTATAAATCTATACCTTGCCATGTGGCTTGTGGCTTACTGGAATCTTCACATGGTGCTTGTCATGGCGGCCGCTGGCAGTGACTCCTCCCACCTTCCTGTTCTCTCAATTCTCCTCTCTGTTAGTCTCGCCTATACTTCCTGCCTGGCCACTGGCCAATCAGTGTTTTATTTATTGACCAATCAGAGCATTTGACATATAGACCATCCCACAGCAAATGTTTGATGAATTAGTAAGTTAGTGAATGCTTTGACTCCTAGCTCTTCTGTGAGTTGGCTCTGAGATCTATTCTGTAATCTCTCTGCAACGTGGTGCATGGTGTGGTCATGAGGACTGCATTATTTGATGCCCAGTGACTGCAGAACAAGCACACATTAAGCAGAAGCCACTGTAGGTACTATTCATCTCTGACTGATGTTCTGTGGAGTCTAGGACACCTCTACAGACTTGTGATGGGACAGAGTCTGGGGCACTCTGCCAGGAGCTTTCAAAACTCTTTGATAAAGCTGGGGTGAGACCTGGCAGCTGATAGGAAGTTTCTGTTCAGTCAGGAGAAAAGGAAACTCCCAAGACTGCTCTAGTAATTCTGCTTCTGACTCCTCAGTGGTAGCGCTGAGAGTGTCACATACTCATTGGGATTGGTGGTGGGGGAGGCAAGGTGTTGGGGGATTTTTTCATTTATTCCTACATTCTTGGCTTCAATGTAAGACTGGGGTTTAAGACTTCTCTCTTGTCAGTCATCCTGTGAAGAGTCACCAAGAATGTGACTTGCCCCTGAGGTTTAACTAAGTATGTCCACATAATGAAACTGTGAGGGGAAGAGACGTTGGCTACAGACACTTCAGGCCCTTGGAGGCCTGGGACCATGGGGCATGAATTAAAGGAGTAAAAAGGAGGATTATGTACCTATTTTTAAGTTTTTGACATGCTAGGGGTCAAGCTCAAGGCCTCATGCTTTTTTTTTTTCTTCTCCCTACTGAGACTCACTATGTATCCCTATGGCCTAGAACTCATAGAGATCCACATGCCCCTGGCTTTCTAGTGCTGAGACTAGAGAAATGTGCCATCAAACTTGTCAGGCCTCAGGATACTCTATCACTGACCTGTATCCCAACCCCATTTTTAAACTACTGAGGAGGGAAATTTAAGATAGTTAAAAAACAATTGCTTTCAAATACACACAGTAGAGATTACAGATGGCTTCCAGGCTAGACCTTCTAGGATGTTCTTTGTTCATTGATCTCATTGCTTCACTAATTAAATCCTGAAATCACCCCTCAGCATCTGTTTGGTAAATGCTCCCAGACTCCAAGGTTGCAGGTCCTACAATAAGGGGCCCGTGGGGAAGCCAGTGTAGCTCATTTGTGTTCTTTACTATTCTGGGTCTGTTGTGAGGCCCTTGTGGGCAGGTGGGTTGGAAAAGCACAAATGTGACTCAATGAGGAGAAAGAAGGCCACCCGCTTTTGATGGGTGATTTGTCATGGAAGCTGTGGAAACAATTCCCTGTAGTGAGTCAGATGCAGCCCTTGAGTCCTGAGTGATGAGGTAGCCAACATCTGGCATGACGATGACCCAGCCTGAGCCAGGAATCCTTTCCCAGACTTTGGAATAAGTTCCAGAAACTTGATCCAGAAAAACTTTTTTCAGACAGGAGTGTGCACCGGTGGTTTCAGAGTCCTCTGCTTGGAACCTCTGAGGCTTCTTGTCCATTCTTAGAAACTAAGACACGCTCAGCTTAGTCCAGATCTACTTGCTGCAGAACCTGGTGGGACGTGCTGGGGGCTGCCCTTACTTACAGAGGATGTAAGTGGTCCAGAGTCCTGTGGGACACTGGTTCCACTCATGTTTGGAGGTAGAGGCAGACAAAGGGTCTAGTATTCTGTGCTGTGAGTATAGGGCCGGGTCCTTTGCTCATCTCTGTGCAGCCATTCGGTGCTCAATACACATTTGTTAAAAGAGCAACTGGGTGTTTTGACTGGACTTAAGCTTGCAGCACAGTGTGAGCCTAAAGGGATTTAGGGAGGGCTTCCTGGAATGACATCTTAACTGAAACTTTGGAACAGGAAGAGCAGCCAGGCCACACTGTCCTTTACTGGGTCCTAGGAAGGAAAAAACGACAATATACTTTTCGGAAAGTCTTTCTAGATGCTAAACACTAGGATCTCACCCCTCCATCCCTACCATCTCAGTAGTCAAGTCTTACTTCTCCCAAGAGCCCCTAAACTCTCAAAGTTAAGATCCTACTTGAATCTTTTTGGTGGGTGAAAGGCTCAGTAGTGCCAGGCACACAGTAGATGCTCAGTAAACGAAACAGTGGCTCCGTGAACTGCGGCTTCGCCTGGCAAGGTGACAATATTTGCTCCCTAATGCCTGCCACTGCACACTCTTTATGGGAGGGATGATTCGGTTCGGCCTCTGGGAACCCATTAGATGCTTCTGCCTTAGGTTCCCGGTTGTTGGAGGCGGGCTGCTGGGGAGGGACTGAACTGCCGGCTTAATGTTTTGAGCTAGTAACGCGAATTAGATCAGGGTAGCGGTCCAGCGCCCCCCAAACAAAACCCGGTTGCTGAGTGAGACACAACGCCGGCTGCGAGCTGGGCTGGTTTTTCTGTCGGAGGACGCGAGCAGGGGCGCGTTGCGCCTTTAAGGAGTTCAAGCCAAGCCTTTCGCCGAGAGCTGAGAGTGCGCAGGTGCGGGGACCTGGGGACGGAGGGCGGTGATCCTGCAACTGGACCCCGGCTTCTGTGGTCGGTCAGGTGAGCGAGGCGGGAAGGAAGGCAACGGTAGCTGAGCTCTTAGGAGAGGGATGGCAGCCTCCCACGACCTGGCTACTTGCCCCCACTTTCCGAGGCCAAGCCCTCCACCCCAGCATCGCAAGGGTGAATGCAGCTGGGTCCGAGATACAAACCTCCCTTCCTGTTCTATTTTCCCGCTCTCTCTCTTAAGGGGCGGGGGGCGAGGGGTGGGGGTGGGGTGAGGAGGTGGGGTGGTGGTGGTGGAGGGGAGGCCTGGTGTTCCCAAGCCGGGTCTCTCCACTGGCTGGCTAACTGCCAGCTTCCTTAAGCCCGGGGATGGAGTGAGGACTGAGTGGAATATGCATCCTATTTCTCTTCCTCCTCCGGATCCACCTCGCTTGCACCAGCCGAGGTGCCTTTCTCCTAGTGCCAGGGTGGACTTGGTCCCCCACTCCCGACTCCAACCCTGCTGCCTTCACCGCTCTAAAAGCAGGGCTACAACTCGCTTTCCTGGTACCAGGGAATTGCGGCACTGTTTTATGGATTCGTAGTCTTATTGATAGAAACATTTTAAATCTCGGGAACCATGCTGTTGGAGTTGGAGCAGAAAACTGAGCTGTAAGGAGGGAGATGGAGAGGAAAGTCGTGCCCTTTGAGTTAGGGTCAGCACAGGCTCAGCAATGGAAACTCTGCAAGCAACTGTGTGGAAGGGCTTTGAGTATCAGGGAGTGACAATGTTCAGAATGTCGGTGGCAAGCATGATTAGCTTTTTGAAAGAGAGCTCAAAAGAGTGGGCAGTCTTAGCAGTGAAGATATGTAAGCAGCTGCCTCCGGGGAGGGGCTTCTGGGGTCTATATGTACTTATCTCATTAAGTGATAATTATTCTTACCATTACCTTAACACATCTTCAGGTATATCAGCCTTGCTAAAAGGTGGTCTCCTGGCTAGGTGATTGATAGGCCCAGTTGGATCAACTCTTAAAGACCATGCTTTACCAGGAGGAAATGCTTTCTTTTGGGGGGGCCTCAAGAAAGACCATCAGCCTCTAGTTTCCTCTCTTGCATATGGTACTTGAACTCTTAAAGAAGGGAAATTATGATGCTTCCTTTTCTTTTTGTCTTTTTCTTTTCATTTTAATTTTTTGTTCTGTTTTTCGAGATAGGGTTTCTCCGTGTATCCCTGGCTGTCCTAGAACTCTGTGATCAGCCTGGCCTCAAACTCAAGAGATCTACCTGCCTCTTTAAAAAAAAAAAAAAAAAAAAAAAAAAGAATGCCTTGCCAGGGAGACAAGAGGTGGAGCCCAAAGCTCATGAGTCCATTCTCTAAGCCTGTCTGGCTACCTAACAATCCTAGTCCCATGTCACCTCCCTTACCATAAGCAAGCAGACTTCTCTCCTTCCACTGACATCAAACCCCTTTTGGGCTTCTGGTACCTTAGCATGTCCCAACTGTCTTTCCCTTTGGCAGAGTCAGGAAGCTGGTCTAACCACTCTGACAGCCAAAACAGGCTTTAGCATCCCTGCTCACATGGGCTTTCTGGTCTCCTTAGAGATGCAGATTGTATAATGCTAGCTGCTGGGCTGAGCACGGGTGAGTTACTCCCACACCCACAGACCTGTGGGGAGGCCAGATCAACCTAGTGGGCCCGGGGTGGGGGTGGGGTGGTGATCAAACTGGCTGAGGGTTTTTTTGTTTTGTTTTGTTTTTAAGGCTCTAGTGGTTAAGAAAAGGAAATAGAGGAGAGTCCTGAAAAGGAAATAGAGGAGACAACCTTTACTTCACTCCCTGCTCAGAAATCCCTCATGGCTGGCTGCCCCCAGCTGGTAGTTAAATGTTGAATGTAATTATACTAACTAACCAAAGTAAGCAAGTACTGAGTGCCTGATTCTGTCCTAAGCCACTTAAAGAACATAACTGGCAGTACTGCCTTGATAGCCCCATAAGGTGGGTGTCCTGTTGATGCAGTTCTTAGGGGAGTGATGTGAGATGTCCAGAAATGGGCTCTTCCTGAGATACACCAAGTATGACCTCAGGTTCTCTGAGCCACTGATTTTTTTTCTAACCCAGTTTTAATGACTTTAAAAAAAATTTTTTTTTTATTTATGCATATGGATGTTACGTCTGCATGTATGTCTGTGTACTATGTGCATGCCTCGTACCTGTGGAGGTCAGAAGAGGATGTAAGATCTCCTGGGACTGGAGTTACAGATCTTTGTGAGTTGCCATGTGGGTGCTGAGAACTGAACCTGGGTCTTCTGCCAGAGCAGCAGTGCTCTCAACTGCTGAGCCGTCTGTCCTGCCTCCATGACTAACTTCTTATAGTTAGTCATGGAGGCAGGACAGTTTTTTAATATAGCGAATAGAAATGTGGTACCTGGGTTTTGGGTACTGATTTATTTTTCTAAAATTAGGCTTTGTGGACTAGGGGTGGGGGAGATGGAGTATTAGAGCACTTGTCAGGAAAGTGATAGGATGTAAATTAAGTTGCTCTGATCATCAGGGAGTCTTTAGTGATCTACAGGATAGTCAGTCTCTCTCTCTCTCTCTCTCTCTCTCTGTCTCTCCCTTCTCTGTGTAGTGGGCCCATGGTTCTGAACCATATAACACTAAACTCCCTCACTGTGGCACAGCTGGATCACAGGGAGAAAGGCTCACATTACAGGGTGGCATATTTGCTTTTATTCATATGTAAAAGGTTTTCCCCACAGTGGCAGGATTGGGCCTACATCTCTACTCCACTTGCTGTGTAGCCCTGGACAGGTTACCTACTCTCTGAGCTTCAGCTTTTAGGGACTGTTCCTACCTTAGAGGAAAGTATTGATTGATAAAGTAATATGCAGAGCCCATTGTGTGAGCCACCAGTATTAGGAAGAGCCGTGATTGTTGACCACTACTTTGAATTACAGAAGCTATATTTAATCACAAATAAGCAGTTTACACCCTCTACTTGAAAGTGAGTTCGGGCCAAGCAGAATAAACATTTTTTTTTTTTAAACTCAGAAAGGCCTCTAAAGCTTTTGTTAGGTTTAACCCATCTTCTGCCTTTGCACTAAAAGTGCAAATTGGTCTTCCCTTTCTTGAGCTTTTAAAACTGATGAGCTGTGAGCTATGTGAGGGATCTGTATAGGGAGAGTGAATGTGGCCACACAGTTTGTGCAGCTGGAAGTATTTACTCAATTTCATGCAAGGAGAAAAACCTGTCTTAGAGATGGTCTTGGTTCCTAGACTGTGTTGCTGATACAAGCCTGTCCTGTGGGGATATGTTAGAACCAAGGATCATTTTTGGGTTTGGGAGGAAAAAAATGGTGAGTGTTTTATCCTAGTAGACTGATGAACAGCTGAGAGAATATTCTTTACCAGTTCCTGGTTATTTTGGTGACTAGATCAGTTATTGTGCTGTGTCTTCAAAAAGAAGGGCAGAGACTCCTTTAAAATCCTTTGTAAGCTGGGTGTGGCAGCACATACCTTTAATCCCAGCACTGGAGAGGCAGAGGCAGGAAGATCTCTGAATTCGAGGCCAGCCTGGTCTACAGAGTGAGTTCCAGGACAGTTAGGGTTACACAGAGAAACCTTGTCTCGAAAAACAAGAACAAACACAAAACAAACAAAAGAATTAAATTTGCAGTATACCAAGAAGCAAGCAAGGTCTGCAAGTTGTTTTTTTTTTTTTAAAGGGGGTGGGGTACTTACTGGTATGGGTGCTGAACCTAAGGCCTTATACATGTTAGGCAGGTGCTCTACCACTGAGCTACATGTTCACCTGTTAAAAAATGTTAAAAATTAATTGCATGTTTATTTGTGCATATCTGTACATGCATACCACAGCACACATGTGAGATCAGAAAAAACTTTGAAGAGTTGGCTCTCTTCCACCTTGTAGGTCCCAGGGATTGAGCTCAGGTTGTCAAAGTTTGGTATCAGGCGCTTCAATACTGAACCATCTCACCAGCACACACACACATACACACACCACCACCACCATCAATTTTTCTTTTTAATTTTGAAACAGGGTCTCAGACTGACTGAGGCTGGCCTTGAACATTCCTGTAGTGCTGGCAGGCTTGGTCTTGGTGTTCTCCTGCCTCAGTCTCTCTTGCAACTAGAATTATAGGCTTGTACTACCTGGCCAGTGGAAAATGTTACTTTTTAATTTCTTTGAAATTGCATTTAGTTGAAATCAAAATTGACAAAGATGTTGAGTTTAGATATTTTAAGATGTAAATCTTTGTAAATTTTGATGTTCTAGGAAATGTAAGAAGACTGTAGAACTTTATTTTTGTGACCCTGGAGGGACAGAAACACTTTCTGGGTTTCTAGTATAGTAACAATTAGTCACATATTGCCATTTTAAAAATTGGTTTAAATTAAATTTAAAATTCAGTTCCTCATGTTTTAAATATGGTCAACAACTGTGTGAGGCAGGACTTCATGAACACCATGTATAACTCAATGAAACCTCAAGAAAGCTGCCTATTGGTGGCAATATTTTTTCCTTTTTTTTTTTTTTTTTTTTTTTTTGGTTTTTCGAGACAGGGTTTCTCTGTGTAGCTTTGCGCCTTTCCTGGAACTCACTTGGTAGCCCAGGCTGGCCTTGAACTCACAGAGATCCGCCTGGCTCTGCCTCCCGAGTGCTGGGATTAAAGGCATGCGCCGCCACCACCGCCACCGCCACCACAAAATAATTTTTCTTTCTACTAAATTCTCTACAGGCCAAGAAATGGAGTACATAAAGGATGTGTCATTGTGTGGAAGGAGCATCAGAAATCTTTTTTACACTTGTTTTGACTGCACCACTGGTTTGTCCACTGCTATGGGGGTGGGAATTCCCGAAGTTTTTTGCTGCATTCTATGCACACTTAGAGCTGTTGGTGGGGAAGGCTCCCCTGTAGCTCAGTGGTGAAGTTCTTGCTTAGCTCTTGTAAAGTCCTGAGTATTTAGACTACCTACCCTGGCGGGGAAGGCTCTGGGACACATATATCCTTTTGGGACAGGAAGTGTGGTTCCGTTCCATTTGCTTGGC